GCACGTTCCTGCCGGTGCTCTCCACTGCCCCCAAGGAAGAGCAGCCCTTTCACACAGGTTTGAAGGCCATCTTGCAGACCAACGACTGGCAGACCAGCTACCCCAACTTAGTCCGTCTATGGGTTGCGGTCGCTGTTCTGCCTCTCAGCACAGTCGAGTGCGAGCGTGGATTTTCCGGCCAGAATGTGATCAAGTCGTGGCGCCGAACGAGTCTCTGCAACGCCAAGCTGGGAGATTTGCTGGCAATGAGTCTGCTCAACTACGACATGGAGTGGGATAAGGTGCTGGACATCTGGCGGAGCACCAGGAAAAGGCGCCCCAGCAAGTGCAAGGAGCAAGCTGCGCCAGAGAAGGAGCGAGCCAAGGCCAAGTTTGTTAAGGGGAGTGGCTGCCGGGTGGTGGAGGAGGAGGACCTAAACGAGGGCATGTGTGGTTCTGCAGGCGATGGTAGTGAGAGTGTTGACGATGCCAGTAGCAGTGGTGATGATGCGAGCGTTTCTTCTGATGAAGACATGACATGAGCTAGTTTGTTAGTGGTAGATTCAGCCAGCATGCGGTATTGGTGCTGCTGTTTGTCACAATGGTAACTTTGGGCGCATCCATGCACTGTTGCATCAGCTCTGCTTTTTTGGTTTTTTTACACTGCAGGTTCAGTTTAGGACAAAAAATTACACTGACAGTATCAGTATAAAGAAAACCACCAACGCTGATTTGGACACCTGGTTGGCAGGGGCACGCTGATCCATCAGCATACCCTCAAACCAATCTGAGGGCCTGTACTAGCGCAAGGTGGTTCACAACTCTTCATTAAACGCTTCCGCTACTACTACATCAGTCCTACTCAGAGTTCACCCCTACAAAGATGCTAAGGGCTTTTCTCAGCCCAATGACCGTAAGGCTACTATTATGACAGTTTGTCCTTGCTGTCGCGCTGTACTTGTCAGGTCAAAGGTCGCTGACCTTTGACTTTCGCGTAACATCCAGCAACTGTTCAACCTCCGAGGGTTGACTCGCCAATGTTTCGATATGTTTCGCTTCGCTTCTGACTTGGTGTTTCGACACGACAGAGGCGCTTAAGTTACTTGTTTCCAACATGTCTGTCAACTCCAGAATTAAATCCTACATCAGACAGCTATGTCCTACATCCATATTAGGTCTGGATGGCGGTCTAGGGTTATGAGATGGTGGTTCATATACGGCATACATTCTCCCAACAAACTCACGTGCTCATTCATATGGTACAGCTTCCCTTATAATACAGCTCACTGCTGGCAAGTACACTTAATGATACAACCTCTACGGTGACTGTACACATTATTCAAACAAAAATGTTACGATCCAACAACAAATGACGCCTTGATCCCGTCGCTACAGTCACTGTTGGCTTTGCTGCTGAAATAAATGGTATTGCCGTAATCTTTGGGCACCACCTTGTAGATGTACTTTCCGTAGTTGCGGCTGCGTGCGAGCTGCTTCGCGTTGAGGAACGTGCATGCAGTGTAATCCGCCACGTCAACCTTGTGCACCGAGTGTACCTCGCCCACCCATTGGAACACTACAGGTAACGGAGAGCGGAGGGAGGGAGATATCAAGGGCAGGAGAGGTAGCTGTCATTCTGGGATCAATATCTACACTCGAGAGCTCTGTCTGTCATCTTGCCGACATGCCGTAGTGCCCTGGCGCCACCTTGTAGATGTGATTCACTCTGCACTACCTGCTCTGCACTCTGCCCTGCGCCAGCTGGTGAGCCTCAGCCCTTGAGCCACAATTCATTACTTAACCCTAAAAAACTCAAAGACCAGAGTTGGTGGTTGTGGTGTGCTGTGCTTCCAGATCAGGCCCGGTGTGCTAGAGCAGGCCCGGTGTGCCAGATCAGGCCCGGTGTGTCAGATCAGGCCCGGTGTGCCAGATCAGGCCCGGTGTGCCAGATCAGGCCTGGTGTGTCAGATCAGGCCCGGTGTGCCAGATCAGGCCCGGTGTGCCAGATCAGGCCCGGTGTGCCAGATCAGGCCCGGTGTGCCAGATCAGGCCCGGTGTGCCAGATCAGGCCCGGTGTGCCAGATCAGGCCCGGTGTGCCAGATCAGGCCCGGTGTGCCAGATCAGGCCCGGTGTGCCAGATCAGGCCCGGTGTGCCAGATCAGGCCCGGTGTGCCAGATCAGGCCCGGTGTGCCAGATCAGGCCCGGTGTGCCAGATCAGACCTGGGTTGTAAATCTTGCAATCAAAATTCCTTCCTGACAGCGTTACCGCTCCCCGCCCACTCGAAAACCACCATTGTCAATTGCTGCACTTGGGCGGTAGTACCAGCGGCAGCAGCAGCAGCAGCACCCAACTCGGACACGGACGTACCTAGCAGGTCGCCAGGCAGCACCTTGGGCGCCTTCCAGTCCTTCACCGCAAAGCCCCATGGTGACAGCCACCGGCCGTTATTGCCCCCCACATACACCACTTTCTGCACAAGGGGAGAGGATAGAGGGGGCGGGGGCAGAGCCGCACATAAGTTGGGGGAGTTCTTGAGTCAACTCCTAAGGTAGCAGCACGGGGACAGCCACGTGCCGTTGTTGCTCCCCACGAACACCAATTCCTGCACGCGGGGAGAGGAAAGGGAGAGAGAGGAGGGGGGAGGGAGATGAGCGTGATAGCGAGGACGGAGGGGAAGGGAGCAAGAACGGGAGGGAGGGAGGAGGGACTCCCTCGGAGGGAACAGGAGGGGTGTGAGGGAGAGAAGGGAAGCAGAACGAGCATGTCTCACTTACGAGAGGAAGGGGAGGAGGGGAAGGGTGCGGGAGATGAGGAGATGGGGGTGGGGAGAGACGGAAGTGCTTCTATGAAATATGCGAACGTGGTTTCTCGAACTTGGCGAATGTTTCTCGCAGCCCTACCTGCGCCTCGGCGCTGCCTGAGAAGGAGCGAGCGGCGAATGGCGGTGACCGTTGATCATCGTCGCCGGAGAGGCGGACATCGGCGGCCGCGGGCACGGGGCGCACATCGGAGATTGCGGAAGGGGGAGGGGTAGGGCGTCGCCGGAGGAGTGAAGGGGGGGAGGAGGAGAAGGTCGCGGGTGAGAAAAGAGGAAAACATGAGCGCTAGGCGAACTGAGGAACGTGAGGAAAGGGACTATCTGGGGAGCGAGAAGCTGGATTTTGAAAATTCTCAGAAACCAGCGGAGAGTAACATGGTATGGGCGCGAGTCGGATTGAGAAACGTGAGGGAATGGGACGATTTGGGGAGGGAGAAGGAGCCTTGCGAGTAGATGCGACGTGCGTTAGACATTCGCCGTAGTACGGTGTGTGGAGGAATGTGGAGAGAAAGCGGAGCAGACGGAAGCAGTGGTACATGCCGCGTTTGAGCGCGGTAGGACTGACTTCGAAAGCGGTAGGACTGAGTATAGTAAAAGGGTAAGGCGGAGTTTCAAAGCGTGAGAAGGAGTAGGACGCGATGGCGCCTCGAGAGGGAGAGCACATCGATAAGTAGAACAGCACGGGCGGTCCCCAGAATCACGTACCGATCGCACGAGATGAGTGGAAGCACGTACCAACGAGGAGGACGAGTGCGGCAAGGAGGAGCCGCAGATGATTGGTTGCGCGCGCCATGATTGTGACAGCTGGGATGGACGGTACTGGGCTCGAAGGGGAATTGTTCAGGCGGATGCTAGTCCGTGAGCGGAAACAGAAAGGGGATTATTGCGGGCTATGATGTTGAGTAAAGGGGGCACAAAATATGTACACATGTTCCTTGAGGGGAGAAGGTAGGATTGTTGGAGCTTGGTCGGTGGGAGGACAAGACGGGGAGAACATGGAGTTCGGGAATCGGGATTTGGAAGCTTGCGGTGAATTGCGGTGCAGAGGGATGAGGTAGGTAAACGAGGCGTTGCTGCTGTTTCTGGGATTTCACTGAGTTGTTGGGCCATCACGGAGTTTGTGAACCTGAATGAACCGCACAGAACACGAGCGATCTCTGAGCTACGTACATGGTCGCAGCTTTGTTTGTGCGGAGCGGAATGCAAATGCAAATGAACAAGCTCCACGAGAATGTCGGGCAGACACTGACCTTGGTGGTTGGTCATAACCAATTCTTCCGCTCGCACTGGAGAAAAAAAGGGCGCCAATTCGCCCTTCAAGGCGGCAGTGGCTGCCCGAAAAATTACAGTTACATTGCCAGTCTGTTCACGCATCTCCCCAAGTGTTCGGGGTGGAAAGTTCTGCGCCGCCAGAAAATGTCACAACAAGGGGACAAGAAAGACCCGTGAGCGCGGCTGTGGTGATCGTCCTAACATTGACTCGGTACTGTACTAGCATAACTTGGACCTGACCTTATAACTACACCAGCGGGAACTGTCATTACATTCTCAATAAGTTCACTACATCTGCTGATGTAGTATGCAACGTAAGGAAAACAAGTTTGCCCTTCACCTGGCTCCAGTGTGTACAGTTACCTCAATTTTTCAAGTACTGTACTGCTAGGTCTGAGTTGAGAATGATGGTCTTTCTGATTCTTGGTTGACATAGTTGTTCAAACAACCTTTTCATCTCGACTTGTCTTACCCTTCATTGTGCCTGGTCTTGCGTTACGCATTGTTCTATTCTCTGGTATTTGATGGAGCAATGAATCGCATTTTTTATTTCCTACGAAGAAAGAGGAACGCACGCAAAGGCAGAAAGTGGAACGTAGCCTTCATGTTAGACGCATTTCCAAAGCACAGTAAGATTCAAATCAACAGGAAGAAAAGGGGGAGAGAGACACCGCAAATGAAATCCCCTGATTCGGCTTGCAGATTGTTCTGCCCGCCCGGTCAGAGTTATCCAAGAAATGCATGGGTAATGACCTGAGTCAAGACGTCGTGTCCCTTCCCAAATCAAAATAAATCAAACCGAACCAAAAGAAATTCAAACCATGCGCTCATACATATCGTACAGCCCCCCCAACAACCATACCGGAGACAGCCACAGAGCCAACCACTACAGTACGTGTACACATTCTCTTTCAGAAGTTCAAAGTTCTTACGACCCGACACTGAACGCCACCTTGATCCCGAGGCTGCAGTCCTTGTTGGCCTTGCTGCTGAAGTAGATGGTCTTGCCGTACTCCCTCCAGTTCACCTTGTACCAGTAGCTCCCGTAGTTGCGGTTGCGTGCGAGCTGCTTCGCCTTGACAAACGTGCATGCGGCATACTCAGCCGCGCTGACCTTGTGCACCGAGTGCACCTCGCCCGTCCACTGGAACACTGCGGGTAGGGTGTGGGAGCAGTAAGGGGTCAAGGGACAGGAGGATGGGGGGGAAGGGTAAGGGGTGGAGAAACGTGCGTGCAGCATACTCAGCCGCGTTGACCTTGTGCACCGAGTGCACCTCGCCCGTCCACTGGAACACTGCGGGCACGGCACGGGCGCAGGGGGGGACAGGGGGGGTTGGGGGGAAGGTGAATGGGGAGAAATTATGATGACATGTGCACCTCGAAAACAGGCTAGTGGTCTGTCGTGTTGCTGCAGTCCTTTCCGTTCCAACCGCCTTGTACCAGTAGCTGCTCCCGTAGTTGCGGTTGCGCACGAGCTGCTTCGCCTTGACAAACGTGCATGCAGCGCACTCAGCCGCGCTGACCTTGTGCACCGAGTGCACCTCGCCCGACCACTGGAGCACTGCAGACAGGGGGGCAGGGGGGCAGGGAGGGAGGGAGGGAGGGAGGGAGGGAGGGAGGGAGGGAGGGAGGGGGGGAAAGGAGTTGACAAACGTGCATGCAGCTTACTCAGCCGCGTTGACCTTGTGCACCTCGCCCTACCACTGGAACACTGCAGGCAGAGGGGTAGGAGGGCAAGGAGGGCAGAGGGGTAGGAACACTGCGTGACGCGGGGGGCAGGGAGTTACATGTATTACACATCCTTCTCAAGTGAAGTGTGATACTTTGTGCACCAAATGGACCTCTCCCGACCACTGGAACACTGCAGGCAGGAAGACAGAGAGGAAGGCAGTGAGGGAGCCACCCACACACTCGCGCAGCACATCACATCAGCACACGCACATCAGGACACGCACATCACCACACGCACATCACATCAGCACACGCACATCAGCACACGCACATCACATCAGCACACGCACATCAGGACACGGGCGTACCCAGGCTGTCGCCAGGCAGCAACTTGGGTGCCTTCCAGTCCTTCATCACGAAACGGCACGGGGACAGCCACCCACATACACACAGACACACTCGCACATCATTCGTACACCACACAACACACATCACACTCACACTCACACACACCCGCAGGAGCATGCGTACCTAGGCTGTCGCCAGGCAGCACCTTGGGTGCCTTCCAGTCCTTCATTGCGAAACCCCATGGGGACACCAACCGGTTCGAGCTGCCTCCCACGTACACGATTTTCTGCACGCGGGGAGAGGGGGCAAAGGGGCGAATTGGGGGAGGAGGGAGTCTTGTTGAGTCGACTCGGTACCAGCCTCACAGGGAAAACAACCGGTTCGAGCTGCCTCCCACGTACACAATTTTCTGCACGTGGAGAGAGGGGGCAAAGGGGGTGGGGAGAAGGGGGGAAATTTGATGAGTCCGCGGGGAGAGGGGGCGGAGGGTTGAGAGTGAGAGGGGCGGGAGAGAGGCGAGCGGGAGAGAGGCGGGAGGGAGAGAGGCGGGAGGGAGAGAGGCGGGAGGGAGAGAGGCGGGAGGGAGAGAGGCGGGAGGGAGAGAGGCGGGAGGGAGACATAATTAGTTGAACGTCGCGATCCTGAACCGAAGAGGCCTTTCTTTCGCGTCATTGGCGAGCAAGGTTCGCTAGAACTTCGTTTTTCTTCAAAGCTTCGCGAACGTTTCGTTTTTCTTCAAAGCTTCGCGAACGTTTCGTTTTTCTTCAAAGCTTCGCGAACGTAGAGAGGGGGGCGGAAGCAAAGGGATATAAGGAGGAAGAGAGCATTGAGATGGAAGGGAAGGGGTGAGGGAGAGAAGGGAAGCAGTACGAGCATGTCACCTCGCATGTCGCGAATCTACGATGAAGGCGACGAGGGGATAGCGAGGGAGAGGGGGAAGAAGCAGAGGGGAAGGGAAAGGAGGCGGCTCCACGAATTTCTTGAATGTGTTTCCTCGCATGTCGCGAATGTGCCTTCTCGCATGTCGCGAATGTGCCTTCTCGCATGTCGCGAATGTACCTTCTCGCATGTCGCGAATCTGCCTGCTCGCATGTCGCGAATGTGGCTTCTCGCATGTCGCGAATGTGCCTCCTCGCATGTCGCGAATGTGCCTTCTCGCATGTCGCGAATGTGCCTCCTCGCATGTCGCGAATGTGCCTTCTCGCATGTCGCGAACGTACGTTCTCGCATGTCGCGAATGTGCCTCCTCGCATGCACACGAGGTTGCATGCGAGTCCGTCCACGTAGGCATACCTGTGCCTCGGCGCCGCCTGAGGAGGAGCGAGCGGCGAATGACGTTGAAAGTCGTCGCCGAAGAGCACGCGTGAGCAGCGGGTATGCGGCGGGGGAAGTCGGGGATTGCGGAAAGAGGGAAGGAGGGGAGAGGAGGAACAGGAGGGTGTGGGGAGGGAAGGGGGGGGGGGGAGGAGGGGAGGGGGTGGGGAAGAGTAGAGGAAAAGGAGGGGGAGGTGGGTCGTGGAGGAGCAAAAATATGGGCGCGAGGCGAATTGAGGAACGACAGGCGAATGGGGGCGGAGTTTGAAAGCGTGAGGAGGAGTATGAAACTTTGGCGCCTCGCGAGGAAGAGCACGCCGATAATAGAAGAACGCGGTCAGCCTCGAGTTGCACAAAGGAGAGGAGGCACATGTAACGTGTCCGTGCTCCGCTCATTGCTCCGCGCTCCCCTCATTGCTCCGCGCTCCCCTCATTTGCGCAAACTCGATTACAGAACAGCGAACTCATTTGCGCAGGCTCGATAACAGAACAGCGAACTAATTTGCGTAACCTCGGTAGTGGAACAGTGCGGGCAGTGCGGAGGTACGTACCGACGAGGAGGACGAGGGCGGCAAGGAGGAGGAGGTGGAGCCGCAGAGGAACTAGGCGCGACATGATGACGAAGGTTGGATGGGTAAGTGCTGACTGGTTCGGAAGGGGACTCTGTTCGGGCGGGTAAAGGTGTGGGTGAGAGGGAAATGGGAGAACCAGGACTAGGCGTTTCCTGTTGGGAAAAGGCGCAAAGATGAGGTATGATATTATGGGGAGGTGAGGTCGTGTCCGTAGGGATGACATGTCGAAGTGGGCAGTGTCAATTTGGCATTTTGACACTCTGCCAACATTGTTGGCAGAGTGTTCAGAAATTGCAGGTTGCCAGCCAATACAAATCGTCGGACACTTTTGAAATTGGCACATACAAACCTACAAACGAGACAAGATTGTCGCAGGTGCCGATCTCACGAAGCACATAATATGTCTTTTGAATTGTTCGTTGCCTAGCAGATCTACCCATGACAAATTCTCAAACCAATGAAATTGCGTCGCTGATGTTCGTACCTGCGCTTTGACCTGACACTAGTGCTTGACATTCTAATTTGAATGCGCTTTGGGTTGACACGCTCTCACCTGACATGTCAACCCTACAGACACGAGCTGAGACGGCGTTGTGTGTGTGGTAGGAGTTCGGTTTGCGAGCTGGAACAACGGAGAACATGGGGCGGGGGTTCATCGAGTTGAGGTAAGGTTCCGTACGTTGCAGAGGGATTCTGTAGGATGTTCGGATTTTGACGGGGCAACAAGGCGGAAACAAGGGTTCTGTTGCTTGCGCACATATAGTCCTGTGTACTGTACAGCAGAATTCTGAAGAACCACACGCTACACACGAGCGGGATGGCAAGCGTCCAGAAAATGTCGGGCAGACAAACACCTTGGTGGTTGGTAGCGACCGATTCTTCTGGAACCTGCGCTGTAGAGGGAGCGGAATAAGAGGGCTACGAATGCAGAATAAGACAGACACGTTCTCACTGACAACAGTGGATGCCCAAAAAAAGGGTAATTACTTTTTGGGTAACTCTCATCGAGCCCGCTGACGTCAAAGTCACCTACGTGGCTCGATGGTACCCGTCAGATCATGCGCGCCCCTTCGTGGTACCCATCTTCCCTCCGTGGTACCCATCTTCCCTGCGTGGTACCCATCAACTGTGCGCGAATTCCCTGACTGGTACCGCAACATTACAACCAAGCTGTACACCGTACAGCAAGGGTTTCAATGCGTTTTTCAGTATATTGTCTTAACGTTTATAAGCTCAATAGAGCACAGTTGATTGGTACCACGCAGGGAAGATGGGTACCACGGAGGGAAGATGGGTACCACGAAGGGGCGCGCATGATCTGACGGGTACCATCGAGCCGCGTAGGTGACTTTTGACGTCAGCGACCTCGATGTTGGTTACCCAGAAGGTAATTACCCAAAAACAAAGCAAGCAGTGGGTTTGCTCTCTTCCCTCCCAACCTGTTACGGGTGCAATGAATCGAGGTAGCGAGAATTGCACTAAGGTGTCAAACGAGTACAAAATGTGAGCGAAGGCATGAGCGAACATTTATACGCGAAACATGCAAAACGGTAACGCGTTGCGTGCGAGCTTGCTAGTGCTACGCTGGAGCGAGGCTCGGGCTAGTCCCGAAGCGTAGGCCGATACGGCCATGCCAGCAGTGCGAGGTTTGGTAAAACAGTGCGCGCGAAGTCGGCGAAGTTCCGTTAGCAGTAACGGGCGAACAATCGGCTGTTGCTGTACGCGATGTAGTCGGCTCCGTAAGGAATGCCGAGAAAATTCCTTACACTACCCCCCCCCCTCAAGAAGCCCCCTCCGCTACGCGAGTGCGTGTATATCGCGGAATCCCCGGCTCCTCAGGTACACTTGCAGGGAAGGGTGATTTTCGATGTTGCTCAGGGGCACCCAGCTATCTTCAGTTGGCGTGCGGTCTTTCCAGCGAACGAGGAATTCAATCCTCCTGATTCCCGTGGGGTGGCGGATCCGATGGCTTATATTTTTTTCGGGCTCGATGATCGGCTCTGATGCGGGGCGAGTCATTGATTGTGGCCGGTGACGCGGCAGTTGACTTGTGGTCGGGATGTATGGGCGAAGTAGGCTGACGTGGAACGAAGGGCTGATGTACCAGTCGGTTGGCAACAGTAGGTGTGCGGTGACGGGTGTGATCATGTGACTGATTTGGAATGGTCCACAGTAGCGTGGTCGTAATTTTGGTACGTCGGGCAGTCGCAGATTTTGCGTGTCGAGTAGCACGTAATCTCCAGATTGATACGTGACGGGGCGGCGGTGGCGATCAGCGTTGCGCTTAGCGATGACGTTGGCCTTTTTTATTGCTTCGGCGGCTCTGGCGCGGGCAGCTTGCAGGATTTCGGCGAATTGTTGTGCGCGTGGCGTTGGGTTGTCCGGACTCGGCGTCATGGGCACTGTGGGGTTTTGCCCATAGTTCAGGTAGAACGGGGACTGCTGCGTCATGGCTGATGTGGCGTTGTTGTACGCGAACTCGATCAGCGGCAGCTGCTGCTCCCAGGTCGTGGGGTCGTCGCACGTGGCACGAATCAACTGCTCCATCGTCTGATTCGTCCGCTCCGTTTGGCCGTCGGTCTCGGGGTGGTACGACGAACTGAACTGTAGCCTGGTCCCGAACTGCTCCCAGAGGTTCTTCCAGAAGTTGCTGGTAAATTTCGTGTCCCTGTCGCTGATAATTGCTGCTGGTATCCCGTGCAGGCGAACAACGGCTGCGATGAACAGGCGAGCGGTCTCCTCGGCTGAGATCGACTTTTTGCACGCAGCGAAGTGTGCCATCTTCGTCAGCCTATCCACGACGACCATCACCGCGTCGTTACCCCCAGGGTTCGAAGGTAACCCTGTGACGAAGTCCATGGTTACTTGCTGCCAAGCGCGTTCGGGCGGTGGGATCGGCTGCAATTGACCCGCCTTCCGCTTCCTTGAACTCTTCATCACCTGACACGTCGGGCACGAGCCCACGTGCTGCTGTACGTCGGTCAACAGCTCCGGCCAGTAATAGTACCGCTGCAGTTGCTGTCGCGTTTTTTCTACCCCGAAATGTCCCGAGGTAATCCCGTCGTGTGCCTCCTGTAGTAGCAGCTCCCTCAGTAGTGAGTACGCGGGTACCCAAATGCGGTTGGTGCCTGCTTTTACGTAATAGACTCCTTTTGCTTCTGCCAGTTGCTGTGAATTTCCGGTCGTGAAAAATGTGTCGGTGCGGTATCCGTGGGTGAATAGGCCAGTTAAAAGCGGGTTGGTCTGGGCGAGTAGGATGGCATGGAGTTGGGCGGTGGGGCGGGTGAGAGCGTCGGCGATGTTGGATGCACCCTTTTTGTACGTAACGGTGTAGTGAAAATTGGACTCGAGATAGTCCAACCAGCGAATCTGTCGTGGGTTGAGATTCGGTTGGGCGCGAAGATACTGTAGCGAGCGATGGTCTGTCCGTACTGTCACGTCGGCGCCAGTCAGGTAACATCCCCAAACTTTGAACGCGTGCACGATCGCTAGCATCTCGCGGTCGTGTATCGGGTAGTTACGTTCGGGCGGGTGTAACTTGCGGGACTCGTACGCGATTGGCTGGAGGCCGTTCTCGAAATCCTGCAACAGTACTGCTCCCACAGCGATGTCACTTGCGTCGGTGACGAGCTCGAACGGACGGTGGGGATCTGCAATGTGAAGGACGGGCGGGGAGCACAAAATAGTTTTGAGGGCCGAGAAGGCAGCTTGCTCTTTCTCCCCCCACGTGTACTCAACCCCCTTCCTCAGCAGGTCAGTCAACGGGGCAGTCAGCTTCGCCATGTCGGGGACGAACCGGCGCACGTAGTTGACGAACCCCAGGAAACTCTGCAACTCGGTCAAGTTGGTCGGCGCGTGCCAAGCCTGAATCGTCGCAATTTTCTTCGGGTCTATTTCCACTCCTGCAGCTGAAATAACATGTCCCAAAAACTCCAGGCGGTCCTGTAAAAACTCACACTTAGATGCTTTGTTCAGTAGGCGGTTCTCACTCAGGATTTTAAAAACTGCTTCGATGTCTTGTAAGTGCTGTGCTCTGTCAGGGCTGTAAATCAGTATGTCGTCCAGATAAACGATGACGCACTTATCTAAAAGCGAGCGGAATGCTTCGTTCATGGTCATTTGGAAAGTGGCGGGGGCGTTGGTCAGTCCGAATGGCATGACGGTGTATTCGAAGGATCTGTAGCGTGTTCCGAATGCGGTTTTAGGGCAGTCGGGTGGGTTGACGCGGATTTGGTGGTAGCCTCCTCGGAGGTCGATTTTCGAGAAAACCCGGGCTGTGCGCAGTTGGTCGATCAGTTCGTCGGCTCGTGGGATGGGGTAACGGGATTTGATGGTAACCCTGTTCAGTGCCCTGTAGTCGATGCACATGCGAAAACCCCCGTCCTTTTTCGGTGTGAACAGTATTGGTGCGGCGAAAGGCGACG